GGGTGCTCAGGCCCAGCAGTTAGCTGAGGAGAGAGAGGTGAAAGGTTTCTGATGAAGCGACTCCTAGGCCCACTACGGTGAAAAATTATAGGCGTGTTTTCTAGGGCTCTCCTGCTTCAGTGCCTCATGAGCAGTTTATTGGCACTTTTGCTAGAATTCCTCTGAATTTTCATGGGACACAAGAAGCAGTTGTCATAATGTTAACTTGTGGATAATAAAGTTGTGCTTCAAAATTTCTGAGGATGTTTACTGACTACACCCTAAAGTATACGTGTTTCCTACTCTGTCTTAGGATCGTCCTTTGCCCTTCATTCCAGCTGTGCATTGACACATCTTCCTTAACTCATGGACCACCAACATCCTGTCTGTTCAACTTCTGGGACAACTTGGGTCTGTCTCCCCTCTATCTACCTGCATTGCACTCCAGAATGAATATTCCTCTAAAGAAAGAGCTAGGTGTGAACACCACGTGATACATAACAGGCTCATAATAGTGCTCCTTAAATTATCTTGTTGCTGAAACACATGTTCCCTAACCAACCTCCTTTTATGCTTGCCTTTGATAGATCTAAAGATACTTAAAGAGGGAGTTAGGAAGAGTGGAGAACTAGAAACTGTGGTAGTAATGTACGAGAGAAAAACCTACTTTTAATAAAAAGGGAAAAATGAAAGCAGGGTAGAACAACTTACGTACCCATGGCTTTAAACCTTTCAGTGACTCATCTAAGATGCTCAGACTGAGAACGTGGCTGGCAGCCCAAGATGTCTTTCAAGCCCCGTTGTTCCTACAAGCCAGCCATCTATCTCCACCAGACATACAAGTGTCTACAACCATCCTCACAGTTTCCTGGACTATTGTGGTCCTTGGTCTGTCTGTCCTGGAGTGACCTTGTCTTTGTCCTTCTCTGAAGTCTCGCCTACTTTTCTCATCTTTGATGAACTGTGGAAGAAGCTCCTGAGGTTCATGGATCATCACCCCTTATCATCACAACTTATGAACCTGTTTTGTTGTGTGTATTATATTTGGTCAATAATATCTTAGCACAAGTCTGCTGAAGGAAGGAACTGTTTTTTCATGGTTTTAATTCCTGTGCCTCATTCAGGGCACGAAACATAGTCACATGGTGGAGGGTTGGGTTGTATCTGATGCTGAGGCTAAATATATTGCAATTAATATGACTGTGAAGACAGAGAGGCCAGCATGACTTAATCCTAGAGAACGGAGAATGCAGGGTAGCTGGGAAGAGATGTGGGGTGGACATTGCATAAGCATCATTAGAGTTTGTAGCCACTGTGATCCCCACTACACAAGGGCTTCCTGGGATCCTCTGGCTGCGGTAATGTTGGCTACTCCAAATCTGGCCACCAGGTGGCACCCGTGCTCCACAAGTGCTGGCCAGAATGCAAAGTGTCAAGCTGCTGCTTAGTAGGCTGCCTGCTGACCCACCCTGGCAGCTAAAGGGTCAAGAAAACATCACAGTAGTGTCCTGAGTTGGATGGGTTCCAGGGGCCCTAGGCCCCAAGCCACAGGTCTCTATTTATCTCCACAGTACTTCCAAGACAACCTGCCAGGCCCTGCAATTTTGCATCACACTGACTTCTGTTTGCTGCTTCCAGGGGTCAGCATGGTGGGAAGGAAGTCTTGAGGAGTTCTGAATGTCAGCCCTCACAAGGCAAAGCTGAGTCATCAGCCCCCTCAGGCCTGGAGTTAACCCTTCCACACTGCATGTTAAGAGTTACAGCTCTGGAAAGTGTATTCCCAGGCACCCAACCTTATCCACAGAAAGAACCCACCTTCGCCTGTCATTGGTGAGCCACCCACTGTCCAGGTGGCAGGTAGCATGCCAGAAATGGGTGTCATAGTAATGAAGGGGACAATCAGGCTAGTGGCTCGTGAGGATGGCAGATGTTTTCTGGTAAGTGAGCTGGGAACTGCTGGAGTCAGGCCAGCCACGGGAGCCATCAAACCTCTGGAACTTAAGTCTTAAGTTGACTGTCCCAACAGAATGCCAGGACTTAAGAACAGGGTTTTTTTGCATGGCCTCTGTCCCAGGTGAAGACTCAGGGCATTCACTTCACAAGTAGATTTACTAGACTAGTGGATGATGAAATATTCTGGAAATAGGTTTAGTCTGTCTGCTTCAGCTACTAGGTCAAAGGGGCAATGGTTAGGGCCCTTGCATTGCTATGTATTTATGTATTATAAGAATTACTCTCGTGATCATTCCTGAAATAATGACGTCTTTGGAATGGATGTGGTATGTATAATATAATCCTTCTATGTCCAATACCTGCAGTTTTTATTACAGGGGAGGAGCCCATCCAGGCAGGTTCTGCCTGGTGTTGTGGAGTCAAAAGGTAGGGGAGATTGGGATAAGGAAGGATAGTATCCAGGTCATGGCCAGGAGCTGGCTCCTCCCCTGACCCCACCTTCTCTCCTAAAGGACACAGGTAGAACACAAACCCATCAAGGGCAGAACCTCACCCGAAACAAAAGGCAGAGAGAGATGGTGTCTACTTCAAGGATTCTGGCTCATGAACCCTGTAGGGAGCCAGCCTCCTTGGAGGTCTGAGAAGGAGTTTGGGCTTCTTGGTGAATGTCAAAGCAATGCACCAGGAGAAGCAAAGTCAAATGCAAAGGACCTGGAGCAGCTAGCATGGGAAGGAGATGGGCAGACCTCAGTGCCTGCTGGTAGAGTGTGACCTCAGGATGGTCTTACAGGCAGAGTCAGTTGAAGATCTTGAAGTCCTTGATGGGGAGCTGAAAGCTGATCTCAGAACCTCCTGGAGCTAGATGCTCCTCCCCTAGAATGTATTCTGGAAAAGCAGAGTCAATTGTCAGTGTTTCCTCCCAAACTACAGTAAGAATAAAGAGCCATTCAATCTTAAATCACTTGTCCCACATACCTGCCCCTCAAATAATGCTGACTTTTGGAGTTTCTTGATTCCCATAACCCAACAAGCTGCCCGCCTAGGGGGCTTTTTAGGCAGCATGCCACCTCTTTGGATGTTGGCAGTCCAAGGAACACGAGAAAAAGGCTTATCTTTTGTATCACTACCCAGGCAACATCTTCTGCCTAGGCAACTCCTGGAGGTGGTGTGTGACCACAGAAACCACATGTAAAACATGCAAGAGTGAGAAAACACTTTGTAAAGACTCAGTCACTGGTGCTGTACCATGGCAGAAATAAATTGACACCCTCAGTCACATGTCATCTTGTGCCTCCCCCACACACACCCCTGCTATGCACTGTAGTCCTCTTCTGCACAATACCAAAGCTGTTTCCAGGGAATTCCTGCTCTCACGGGCACTTCTGCTTCGGGACGAAGATTTCTGCTTCCAGATGTTGGTTCAGACACTGAAAGTCAGCCTCTTCTTCAAGGACGTCAAGCAGAATCACTCTCTCATAAAATGTGCACAGGCATGAAGCAATTTGCGCGAGCTTTGTGGATGTGATTTTATGCCACAGCAATGAAGTCGACTTGAAGCACTTTTGAGTCGAATGTCAGGTAAGTGTTCTCACAACTTGCTGCTTAAGAACTCTCTCTGGGACAAGGGACTGGACTGTCCTTTACTCTGGGGAATGCTAGTTACCTGGACTTAATTTTAATGCCCAGAGCTCTGCTGGTTTCAAGTCTCTCCTCCTTCCCCTCTATTAAGTCTCTATTCATGTGATTTAGACCCCTTTCTGTTCAGAGCAAAGCAAACTGCTCTTTTCGAAGGTCCACATCAGCCAGTGACTTTAAATCAGTCACTCTGACCTCTCCCCTAAGGTGCTTGTCAAGGCACTTCCCAGAACAAAGGTAGTTTCTTTCTTAAGGGCTCTGAAACCAGCAGTTGAGATAACACTTCACCTCCTAACATTTATCATTATAACAGATTTCAAAAATGCCTTTTACAACTTTGATGTAGGGAATAGTTTTGAATTGGGAAGGACAACATAGTTACAGATACAATCATTAAAGAAAATTCAGAATGACCTAGAAAGAAGGAGATAAAATTCTCTAAGAATCTAAGTAACTCTTTCTCATAGCTCATTCTATATGAGAAACACGTATACAGCTTATTTAACATCACAGCTTTCTTTACACCCAGGGCCTGGTTGTAAGAGGCTCTTTGTGCCTGAGCTTTGATAATGAAAGGTTCCTTTCTGGAGTGAAGATGGGACTCGCCCTGGGTGTGCGCTGGGACTCTGGGGACTCTGTCTTCTGACCATTGCCATCTCAAAATGATAGCAGATGTGACTACCTACATTCCCAGAGGGTAGTCCGATGTTTCTCTTCCACCAGCCTGTTCCCAAATACCTGGCACTGTTTTCCAAATAATTGTCTTGGAGACTTAATATTACTTATAAACGCTTGGCCAGTAGCTTAAAGGCAAGGTTGAAGGGAATACTTCAACCAGTCTCACAGAATATTCCAGTCAGCCCTTGACCATAGTCCGAAATTTTCTCAGGGTTCCCTCAAAGATTACTAGCACCTCCAATCAGCATGAAGTAGCTTGGAAAGTTATGCCCACATTTCAAAACCAATGGATTTTGGATATTTGTTGTTTGTTTAGGGGGTTTGGTTACAAATTGTTATTGATCATGGTATTTAAAAAAGCTAAAGAGTAAATTTAAAGATCTCTTTCTAAAGGAAAAAAGGGAGATAGAATATAGAAATTTAATCCAAAAACAGCTATTAACCTCAGGATGTTTCATTGGTATGGATTTTAGTTTATCAATACAAATTTAAAGTTAATTTTGTTATACCTTATGTATATTTCTATTCTTGTTTAGGGTATCATGTTTATGCAGTGCATTTAAAAATATAAAATATAATTAAGAAATACAGATTGGTAGTCATTTATAACAGCAAACTTAGTCATGTTAAATATGTTTTCAAACAGAGATATATTTCAGATAGAAAGACAATCTTCAAACACATCAAAGACCTACAGAATATGGAATTTAGAATGTCTTAAGAACTTAGACTTTTCTCAACAGTGAGACATATCTGCTTCTGGCAGGACCAATTACTTCAAAGAGGATGATGGGTATCAAAGAGTTTGTTTTCTTTATAGAAAAGCGACTGCTGAACTTTGGTAGGCCAATGATGCAGAGGAACTTTGAATGACTGTCCAGGCAGCTTGAGGTCCCTGTCATTAGGTAACATTTCACTCTTCTGGGGTCTTTGATGGAGATTGAACAAGTGAAGACTGAACACATGGATGGATAGGTGCGTGACTGGGAGATTAGAAATCTAATAGACAAATGGGTACTACTGGCCTACCTGACCCTTTATCTACCATGCCCTTTCCTGGGTGGAGTGGGAATAGTTGCCCATATTAAATATAAGGACTTGATGAAAAGACCAGTAGGCCAGTGGGAAGTCAACAGGTCAGAGGTTCATAGACCTGGTAGACACCTGCTCCATGTGGTCTTTGTGGTTTCCCTCAAGTGCCAGAAAGAGTGGCTTCATGTTCCTGCTAATTTTATTTGGGATAAATGAGGAAGCACAGAATGAGTCTCTTTCAAAGCTGTCCAGCACTCTCCCCACATAGTAGAGGTTATTATAGGAGCAGTCATGGTAACCCCTACTCTACCACCCTATCCTGTTTTGCCCAAGCTGAAAGAGAGTCCTGACAGTAACAGTGGCTTTTGTTTTGTCGTGGAACTCTCTATGTTCTGTAGGATCTTTACTGTAAAGATCTATCTCCTTGGTAGAGTCCTTACCTAGCATATATAAGTCCTTTGCTTTCTTACAAATTTTCCCGAGGCCGCAGAGGGCACATAGACTTGGTGCTTTGCGTAAGCTGAGACCTTACCATATAGAAACTCTACTGTGGGAAGAGGGGAGAGCTCAAGTCTCCTTTATCTCTTTACTCTTCCCCATTCTCCTACCTTCCCCTCCTCCTCATTAATCTTTTTTTTTTTTCTTTTCTTTTTTTTTTTTTTTTGAGACAGGATTTCTCTGTGTAGCTTTGGAACTTGTCCTGGGACTATCTCTGTAGACCAGGCTGACCTCGAACTCAAGATTCTCTTGCCTCTGCCTCCTGAGTGTGTAACATGAGGGGGGGGCGGCTTGTTGGGGTTTCTTGTCCTGCCCGGTAACTCACAGCTGGCAAATACCAAAGAGAAATCACACACAGGACTCCATAAGGTTATAAACTGATTGGCCCTTAGCTCTGGCTACTTATTAGCTCTTATAACTTATGTTACCCCATTATCCTTATCTATGTAGCACATGACTCCGTACCTTTCTCAGCTGGGCAAGTTACATGCTGCCTCTTCAGTGGTCTGCACACGAGTCGCTGAGAGAGCTTCTGCTTCCAGAATACTCCCAGTCTCTTTGCTCCACCCCTACTTCCTGTCTGGCTTTCCCGCCTATACTGCCTGCCTGGCCAATCAGCATTTTATTAAAATATGATTGACAGAATACAGACAATTCTCCCGCATCATGAGTGCTTGGATTAAAGGTGTGCTCCACCACTGCCCAGCCCTCATTCATCTTCTACATAGCCCCTCTTCTGTCTTCCCCCTCCCACACTTTCCACTCCATTCTTTTCTCCCCTCATACTCGCCTTCTTCCACACTCTTCCTCAGCATTCTTCTCCAACACTCTCCTTCCTTATGGCTTAGCCTCTGCTCACACTCACAGTCCCTCCGCTCTCTCTCCCCTATGCTCTTCTTCCCCAGATGCCCTTCCCCATACTCATCCTTCCCTACTCACACTACACTCTTCCTCCTCCACAGTTGTCCTTCCCACACTCATTCGCCTGCGCTCACCCTCCTCTCAGACTTACACACACGCACACACTTCCTATGAATACTCCATTTCCACTTTCACCTCCACACAATCCCCACTCCACAGAAACACCATACACAGCGCCTTCAGTTTCTTATGCATTCACTTCCAAGATGAAGAACAGACATATTGGGGAATGAGGAAAGCACGTGATGATGAGACGGATTTTGGACATGTTTATGGCAGACAGCATATCCAGCTAGGGGGCACCTTTGGAGGTAATGAAGGTAATGAAAAGAGGATTCTGCATGTTTACCGCTTATTGTTACATTTAATTACTGGGAGTTGATAGCACATTAAATCTATGTTGTTTGTTTGTTTGCTTGTTTGTTTGACCAAGGAACATGTCTATCTCTCTGGTCCAGCATTTTGGTATGTAGTTTCCTGCTTAGAATTGTCTTAAATTCAAATATAGCTGTCAAAGCATTGGTAAACACCACCACTGATCACCACCATTTGTAGGGACTTCTCACCATCAATGAGTTCTCCAGCAGATGTCAACTGATACCCTGGACTGATATTCCTGCACTCCATGTGGAGTTGGAGGAAGGTATACCTGTGATGACTGGTCTTAGTTGTCTTCTTGATTGGATTAAGATAAATCTAGGACTGGCAAAGTGTTGGCATGGCTGCTGGTCTGAAACTATGATCAATCTTCATGGACAGAATACCTGAAGTCTTCCTACCAGGGCGGTGAGTAAATTCCTTGTTACGTCAACCATTGTCCCTGTTCTGCTTTCTGGAAGGACATCCCTTATTTGTTGTTTCTCGTGTTGCTGGGGCTACTGTAGTTCTACAGTTCATGTTCACACACATTAATTGAAGGTGATCTTCTAGTGTCTGCAGCCTTGCTAGTGTGTGGCTTTGGCAAGCATCTAGTACTGGCCCATTAATTAGGAAAGGGCTTAATTTCAGCTCCCACTTGCCCCCAAGTTGGGTGTCTGAATTCATGCTGTGCACATCTATAATCAGGCCTGTGATGAATTATTCCCTCTCTGGGGAGTTCTCAGTTCATAATCCTTTGTAGCCATGAGTGAGCTTGGTTAGCACATAGAAACCGTTCTTAGACTGAATAGCTTCAGTGACTCTCATCCTGTAATAGCAATTTCAGGAGACCCAAGGATATAGGTCTCCACCAGTAAATAAATAAGTTGACACAAGGATAGTATGCAGTAAGGGGTGAGTCTAGGATCTCAAAGAAACCAAGATTTGAGGTGTTAACCAATGTGTAGGCTTGTCATTGTTATAGCAAAATACCTGAAGAATAGTTTAAAAGAAGAAACACGTATTTTTCACTTTTGGTTTAAGATGTTCTAGTCTATGGTCCATTGGTTCTGTGTTTCTGAATCTATACTGAGGCACTACATTATAGCTGGCAATAGGAGTATGTGGCAGAGGCTCTTCAACTCAGGGGAAACCTCACTGGAGGAAGGGAGAGAGAATGCTGAGAGGAGGATTGGACAAAATGCACTCCAAGATCCTCTTTCCTCCATCCGGGTTCTACCTTCCACAGTTTCAGAACCTCAGAAGAGGGCACTCAAATTTGAAACCCAGCAGTGGATAGAACCTGTCAGAAAGATAGTGAACTCAAGATCTAATCACCTCCCTGATGCCCTTCATCTGGTGACTGAGTCCAAAGCCAAGAGTCTGTGGGGGGCGGGCATATGGATAGCTGGAAGTGAGTGCTACTAGAGAAAGCAGAGGTAGAAATGAGACATCATGGGATAGCCAAGGCCAGAGATGGTCAAAAGAGAACCCATCAGTATGAGGAGAGAAGTTTAAAGTCAAGAAGGGTGGAAACACAAACGGCCCTTTAGCTCTGATTGAGCTTTAATTCCTGGATAGCAATTACCTAACTTTACGTCATAGCCTTGGGCTGAAAAGATGAGGAAGTGTGGTATTGTTGCCTTTTGTCCAGATGAGGGTTGCTAAGCCCTCTCTCGAGCTAAACAGATTCCTGCCTTTTCCTTGAAGGACTTTTTATATTGCTACATGTGCTAAGAGCACATGATCTTTCTTAGGCTTAATTCTTGACTCTTCCTAGACCAGTCTTAGAATTTTCCGTTCATGTCCTGCTTGCTGCATGAGAGCTTCCCCGGGGTGACTGCCTGTGATCTTGGAGATTCCTCTGTCCTGGAACTTACCATGCATTTCTGTAATTATTTAATTTTTAAAAATTTCTTTCCTCTCTTTTGTGTGATCCCTCACAGCCTGTGCCATCTCTCCAACTGTGTAGCCAGAACACATAGTTTAGACTAAATGGCTGCTGAATTGACTTGATTCTGTGGTTGACATCCAACCAAATGCTGAAATGCACAGCACGGTAAATAGCTAGTTCACACTTGTGAATGAAAACCTGTGTGTTTGGTCTCAACCAGGGTCACCTGAGACAAAAATTCATACCTCAGAGTCCATACAATGACTGTCTTGAGAATGGCTATTACAATTATGGTGATCTGAATTCACCATAATTGTAATAACACCTATCATGTTTTTTTTTTCAGCCTTGGGCAATTTCCTTAATTATCTGAGCCTGGCATCCTTAAGTGTAAAATGGGAACAGATAGCATTTGCTTCATGAAGTTGCTGTGAGGATTAACATGAAAGAAGGCCTAAGCAAACAGCTGGCGGAGTATTACACAGAAGCTCAACAATGGCGTGTCCCTTTTATTTCCACATTAGGGTGGCTATGGTTCTCCGTAGGGCAGTCCTGATTACAGTTGCTATGGCCTCCTATTGTAATTATCCTCACCGCACTCTTTTATCCAAATTGGCACCCTGGTTGGATGATAAATTACACTGTTGCTCTATTAATGAGCCCTAATGTGCCATCCAGCCTGCTGCCAGTGGTGCAGACTTGACTTTAAAATGACAGCTGGGGACCTTGTTTTGAAATTAGATAACACATGCAGAGGAGAAAAGTCTTCTTGGGACTTTGAAAGTCATCATCCAAGGTAGGGGTATAAAGCACCAACCGTTGTAGCCATACGACACTTACGTACATCTAGGAGCAAGTCCAAATGTCACTGGCCGTGAGTGGCAGGCAGAGGTTTAGGGGCAGAGACTTGTGGTTCTTGGTGTTTGTTTATGGATTGAATGATACTTGTGGTTCTTTGCGTTTGTTTTTTTTTTAATTGATGTATTTATTGATTGATACAGGATCTCAATTCTCTGTGTAACTTAGGATGAACTCGAACCCCTGATGCTCCTGCCTCCACTTTCCAAATGCTTTGCACTGCAGTTCCTGGCTTTAAAACACTCACTCGGTTTCCCCTCATCTAAGGCCCCGCCCTTCTAGAATCTCAGCAGTCTGTTTACATATTTCCTGCCTGGGAGTCAAATTACTTCTACTCAGCAGTTGATGAACCTTCCATCTCTTGGTTTTTATTTTTATTTGTGTAACACATAGGTTAAAGCACTGCCTATTGGGC